AAGACTCTTGAAAGTCCCTTGGGCAGCAAGGAGATCAAACCAGTCAATCAAATAAATCAATCCTGAACACTCATTGGAAGGACTGATGCTGAAGCTGAAGCGCCAATACTTGGACCACCTTATGCAAACTGTCCACTCATTGGAAAATATCCTGATGCTGGGAAAGACTGAGGGAAGGAGGAGAAGCGGGAAACAGAGGATGAGATAGTTGGATGGTATCATCAACTCAATAGACATGAATCTGAGCAAACTCTGTGAGACAGTGAAAAACACGGAAGCCTGGTGTCCTGCAGTCCATGGTGTTGCAGAGTTGGACACAACTGAGTGAACAGCAACAAAAAAACCTTCAGCTCATGAAATTTACTTGAGAATATGTGAAATATATCCTTGGGAGAATATATGAAAAAAATCTATACTTGGAGGCTGTGTTGTCAAAAAAATGAACTGGAGGAATCTATAATATTACAAGCAATTTACATACCAAACTCTAGTTTACTCAATCACTACAAGTTTTGATAATGTGTTATGTGTAAATCTGTTCCTAATTTCCTGTTTTTAATCTTAGCAGTGATGCATGTGTAACTACTTTGAAGTGAGTTTACATGAATACAATTATTTTCTTATTATCTTTGCTTCTCATGTCAGAATGAGGAATAATCTTCCCAATTTCTTTTCTTTTGAATTGATTTCTTCACTGCCCCTATATTCTATTCAGGTGATTTAAAATGAAAACTAAAGAGGTACACACAACTTCATGCATTGTGAAATTCATATTTGGGGAAAACATTTAAAAATATTTCTTGCAAAATACCTTTGATATTGCTTCTTTCTGTTCCTAATTTTCTTTTCAGGGAGTTCAGTTCAGTTTAGTCACTCAGTTGTGTCCGACTCTTTGCGACCCCATGAACTGCAGCATGCCAGGCCTCCCTGTCCATCATAAACTCCCGGAGTCCACACAAACCCATGTCCATTGAGTCAGTGATGCCATCCAACCATCTCATCCCCTGTCATCCCCTTCTCCTCCTGCCCACAATCTTTCCCAGCATCAGGGTCTCTTCAAATGAGTCAGCTCCTCGCATCAGGTGGCCAAAGTACTGGAGTTTCAGCTTCAACATCAGTCCTTCCAATGAATACCCAGGACTGATCTCCTTTAGGATGGACTGGTTGGATCTCCTTGCAGTCCAAGGGACTCTCAAGAGTCTTCTCCAACACCACAGTTCAAAAGCATCAAGTCTTCAGCACTCAGCTTTCTTTATAGTCCAACTCTCATATCCATACATGACTACTGGAAAAACCATAGCCTTGACTAGATGGACCTTGGTTGACAAAGCAATGTCTCCGCTTTATAATATGCTGTCTAGGTTGGTCATAACTTTCCTTCCAAGCAGTAAGCCTCTTTTAATTTCATGGCTGCAATCATCATCTGCAGTGATTTTGGAGCCCAGAAATATAAAGTCAGCCACTGTTTCCACTGTTTCCCCATCTATTTGCCATGAAGTGATGGGACTGGATGCCATGATCTTAGTTTTCTGGATGTTGAGCTTTGAGCCAACTTTTTTACTCTCCTCTTTCACTTTCATCAAGAGGCTCTTTAGTTCTTCTTCACTTTCTGCCATAAGGGTGGTGTCATCTGCATATCTGAGGTTATTGATATTTTTCCCGGCAATCTTGATTGCAGCTTGTGCTTCCTCCAGCCCCGTGTTTCTCATGATGTACTCTGCATATAGGTTAAATAAGCAGGGTGACAATATACAGCCTTGACGTACTCCTTTTCCTATTTGGAACCAGTCTGTTCCACATCCAGTTCTAACTGTTGCTTCCTGACCTGCATACAGATTTCTCAAGAGGCAGGTCAGATGGTCTGGTATTCCCATCTCTTGAAGAATTTTCTACAGTTTGTTGTGATCCACACAGTCAAAGGCTTTGGCATAGTCAATAAAGCAGAAATAGATGTTTTTCTGGAACTCTCGCTTTTTCGATGACCCAGTGGATGTTGGCAATTTGATCTCTGGTTCCTCTGCCTTTTCTAAAGCCAGCTTGAACATCTGGAAGTTCATGATTCACGTATTGCTGAAGTCTGGCTTGGAGAATTTTAAGCATCATTTTACTAGTGTGTAAGATGAGTGCAATTGTGCAGTAGTTTGAGCATTTTTGGCATTGCCTTTCTTTGGGACTGGAATGAAAACTGACTTTTTCCAGTCCTGGGGTCACTGCTGAGTTTTCCAAATTTGCTGGCATATTGAGTTCAGCACTTTCATCTTTCAGGATTTGAAATAGCTCAATTGGAATTCCATCACCTCCACTAGCTTTGTTTGTAGTGATGTTTCCTAAGGCCCACTTGACTTCAGGGAGTAGCATCAGTAATTTCTCGTTTGTGAAAACATTTCTTTCTATGTAGAACTATGCTACATATATCTCTAGTGGTGTTTCTATAGAAGTTCTTCAACAACATATCATTAATTCCATTCCCTGTATAAGGCTTCTCAAATCTCATCATCCTTTCATCCTGAACATTAAGAAAATGTAGGTGCAAGGTCTTAAAGATCAGATATTTTGAAGTTGACACTGAGTCAAGATTATAGGGCCAATGAGGCAAGCAAAACATGAGTTCAGCCATATTCATGTCTACGTTGCATATTTTATTATGTAATTTGTATTATGTTATTTTGTACTTTCACTAGGAATTAGAATCTAATGTTATGTTGTTTCTGTTATAGGTTTAATCTAATGTTGCTTCTGTTACAGGTTTAATAGTTCTGCTACCTAGCAATAACCAACAATATGGTTTTTGAATGAATTACCTAGATTATATTGAACTATCCATTTTTAGCTTCTTCTCAAAGGTGCAATCATTTCATAAAAATATTTTTCCAAATACAAAATAATCATTACAGTCTGATAATGGCTCAAATTTTTCATATGCTATTACCTTAAGAGAGTAATATATTCTCAGTGTCAAAGATCAATACGAAGATGAATTATTTGGCAGGTCTGCAATATTGGTATAGTGAAAAAATTGAAAACTGATGAACTTGGCTGCCCACTGGAATTACCTGGAAAACCTGAAAACGTACTGATAGCTGGAATCCACTCAAAGATTCTTTATTAATTTGGGGGTGTGGCTTGGGCATAGGCTGTTCTGAAGGCTTTGTAGTTAATTACAATATGCGTCAAGTTTCAGAACCACTGCTCTAAACCCTTGATACTCAAGGCTTGAGAACCAGCAACATCAGTTTTACCTGGAAGTTTGTTTAAAAAGCAGAAGCTTAACTATTCCCCATACCTATTGAATCATATCCACATTATCAGGGCTTCAGTTTAAACTATAAAGAATCCTTTTCTTAAAAAAAATAAAGGACCAAGTCTATTCCATCCTTTCCAGCTCTAAAATTCAGATCCTTCAACATGAGTGAGATACTCAAAAGCACTTTCAAACTTACCTAGAATTCTTTATCTATAAATGAGAGACCAAAGCCATCCTATCTTCTCCAACTCCACAATTCTCATTTCACAAACTTAAATATTATACTGAGGGAATTTGTAAAAATTGTGTCATCATTTCATCTTCATGCCTTTACATACACTTTCTTTTCCTTAGAATTCCTGTTTCATTTCTCTTCTCTCATTGAGACACTTCATTTAAGATCTAGGTAAAATCCTATTTCCTTTAGGAACACATCTTGAAAAATAATATAGCTTTTCTCTAAAATTCTATTGTCAATGCAATCAATTTCATGAAGTGTAGCACATTTTTTCCTTCTATGATTACATACATAATATCTTGTTTTCCCAGTTAAGCGATGAGTATCTTAAGTAAGGGATCATGTCATGTTCCTTTTCTAACCCAACCCACTGTCTAACTTTTGTAAGTGAACTGTATATTGTTAAAATGTATGTGGGAAATAAAAATAATTGCGCATTACTCTCACAAGATTACGTATTCAAAGCAGACTACCTTTGCCCTTTCCCCACAATGTGACCTTACCACACATAATGCACATTCCAGCACATCTGGGTGAATCTAATCAGTTGTGCCTTAGGCTCCTATTCTTTTCTTCCTGCTTCCCTCAGGCCTGACAGTCTGATGATGAAACTATTTCAAATAGCACAGAAACTCTACCGAAGAAAACCTTTGCTCATCAGCCCTACAGTATACCTATAGGAGACCTCTCATGTCCCGTAGCCATGCCTGTCTTACTCACCATTACATCTCCATCATTGTGTTTGTCACATACTGAGCATAAAACTGTATTAGAAACAGTGTTTCAACCAAAAACACAGGAATAAGCAATAAACAATGCATGCTACTGAGCTTGTGATAATATTTAGAAGTATAGTCTTTTATTATAGTAGCTCCTATAAATATTTCCCTTTATATATATGTATATGTATATTTCTATGATCAAAATAATATGCAGTCATTGTAGAAAACACAGATTTAGCAAAATGAAAAAATGTAATCCCTGAAAGAGCAGAACCCAAGTATAACAGATGCATATCTGTACAGACTATTGATTTATATATGTATATATGCATATGTATAAGGGTGTGTGCATTTATATCTATATACACAAACATATGCTATTAAACATATATATCTCTTAAAACAGGCTCACACTCTTATCTCCTGCTATATATCCTACTTCTATTCGATTAAGTATAAAAAAGCATCACTCCAGTCAGCAAACCAGTTTATAATAAAATTTGTTTATGACGGTTGCATTAACATATGTACCAAAGTTTATTTGATCAATTACCCATCTTTAAAAGACTGAGTTATTCCATTTTTGGTAATTATAAATAATGCTATGATGAACAATTTTCCTCATTCATTATCCAAATATTTCCTTAGACTAAAAACCAGCTCTCTCACCAGGGGATGGGAGTTTTTGAAAACATTTCATCAGCAATTCTACATTCTTTGCTGTAATATTTATTAAGCAATTATACAGAGTGAAATGTGACAAAAAGAATAATTGATGCAGTTGAAAAATACTCACATTCTTTTTGAGGGCAGATTTCAGTTTGGAGTGATTGGAATTCATAGAATGGTATCTCATGTTTGAATGTGGATGTGAGAATATCGTCAAGTTCATCAATGTCATTCTGTTTTCAAATGAAAAGGAAATGTTTTTTTAGTTTAATTATTTACAAAGAAACATCTTAGTGCAATATAATAAAAATTATTGACTGGAATAAATACTGGGTAACCTTTAATAATACTTACAACTTTAAAAAAATAACAACACAAAATATTAGGGACATGGAAAAAAGAATAACAGAAAAATGAATGCAAGAAATAAGTCTTTGCTTTTGGTTGGGCTTCCTTTGTGACTCAGCTGGTAAAGAATCTGCTTGCAATGTGGGAGACCTGGGTTTGATCCCTGGGTTGGGACGATCCCCTGGAGAAGGGAAAAGCTACCCACTCCAGTAATCTGGCCTGGAGAATTCTATGGGCTGTATAGTCCATGGGGTCGCAAAAAGTTGGACACAACTGAGCAATTTTCACTCACTTTAGATGAGCTAATTTACTTGAAAATTGACTAATTTTAGAAAAGCTTTATAGAAAGTCAATGATAACACTGAAATTTGCTTCAATAATAAATTCTGTTAAAATATGTTTCATTTTAATAAATGAGATAAAATGATGATTCTGATTCAATTTAAGGGTCAGAAATGAAACAGTCTTAGATTATTTTACTTCTGTGTCAAAGTGAGGGTGAATATTCATCTTGACCTATTTTTTCCCCTGTAGATATAAAATAATTATATGTCAACTTTATTTCCCTAATTTGAACATTTTGGGAGGGTTATTGGTCTTGTACTACCAATGACATAACTGACTGCAAAGGCTACCATTCTTTTAAACTGTGTTTTGTGAAGCAATAGCTGAGATTAAACTGATTTGTGACCTAGATGATTAAAGCTGAGAAAGTAGGCCAATGAACAAAAGCCATGGGGTGGAGAGAGGATTATGGAACAAAAATATCTACTAAAGACTTTTGAAATGATTTCCAAGTAAATTAGATAGACTGCCAATATAAAGTCCCAGAAATTGGATGATTGGGTTGAAAAAAATGATGTTACTCTATTTCTTCATTTTTCAATAATCTGGATACCTCAAATAATAAAGTGATTCAAGCCTTTCTGGATTTTCTAAAAGTCCTGTTTAGAAATGAAGAGAAAGGATGAAACTTATAGCTATGTAACACAAAGCAAAATGAAAGTGTTAGTGGCTCAGTATTGTCCGACTCTTTGCGACCCCATGGACTTTAGCCTGCCAGGTTCCTCTGTCCATGGGATTTCCCAGGCAAGAATACTGGAGTGGATTGCCATTTCTTCCTCCAGGGGATCTTCTTGTCCCAGGGATCAAACCTGCATCTCCTGCATTGGTATGTGATTTTTTTTTTTTTTTTTTTTACCATTTAGCCACTTTTTTACCATTTAGCCATATCTAACTAAAAGGGTGGTTAAAAATACAAAAATCTAGTCTTCCCATCTTTAATAGCAGACAAGAGGCAAGGAAAAATGTTTTAAAATATTGATGTTGAATGAAGAAATCTCTAAGGTTGACTACAGAATATTAAGTTATTTTTAAAAATCTGGTAGAGAAATATAGTAGTAGTAAGGAATCTTTATTAACAAGATAAATGATTTCAGTGAAATGATCATAGGAAGGCTATGAAATGTTCAAAATAGGAGACGAAACACATCATTTGCAGCATTTTACTTTCAGATATCTAAAAGGAAAGTCAATGGTTGAACTAAAAACATCTTGTTTTTCTTATAACAAATTTCTATGTTTCCTTAAGTTTCACTAGTAAAAGAAAATACGGTTCACTTCGTTTATTCCATTGTTCATAATATGTGTGCTATGAAAGCCAGCCAAAATAGACATTTAAAGGAAAATTTGATACATAGATTACATATCTTAAACACAATTTCCTCCTACAGCTTGTAAAAAGAATGACAGAGAACAGAACAAATATTTTTTGGTTATAAAAAGCCTTTTGTTTTTTACTTTATGAGTATTCAACTTCAGGCACTTAATGTAAAAGAATAAACAACATCTAAGTTCTAATGAGATGGATGAAACTGGAGCCCATTATACAGAGTGAAGTAAGCCAGACAGATAAAGGCCAATACAGTATACTAACACATATATATGGAATTTAGAAAGATGGTAACGATAACCGTATATGCAAAACAGAAAAAGAGACACAGATGTACAGAACAGACTTTTGGACTCTGTGGGAGAAGGCAAGGGTGGGATGTTTTGAGAGAACAGCATCGAAACATGTATATTATCTAGGGTGAAACAGATCACCAGCCCAGGTTGGATGCATGAGACAAGTGCTCGGACCTGGTGCACTGGGAAGACCCAGAGGGATGGGGTGGGAAGGGAGGTGGGAGGAGGGATTGGGATGGGGAATACATGTAAATCCAGTATGGCAAAAACCACTACAATATAAAAAAAAGAAAAGAATAAACAAGTAAATTGGGATAAGATAAAAGAGATAGTTTCCTTTGCCAAATTAATTTTTCTAAGTTTTAAGTAAGTCAGTTCTAAGAATTTCAACATGTCATGACCACATATGCAAAAATAAATGTTAAGAGTATAAAACAATGCAATTTATCACTTCCTTCTAATATTTTGTATTTACTATTGATTAGGTATTCATGTAGCTGTAGAAAATCTTTAAATAACTTGAAAGCATTTATATCAGGAAGAAAATATATTTTGAGATCTGAGAAATCTCTGTTGAAATGCCTGCTTCAGGGCTTATTAGTTGTGGACCTTAATAATACTTAACCAACAGAATTACTCAGGAGTTTAAATACTTTGATGTGAGCCCTCAGATATAACACATGAAATACAATCACTGTGATTTAGAAAAGTGCACATCTATTCATAAGGAGAGTTCACTCCCCAAACTAGCCTTTGCACTGACTGAACAAATTAAGTGCAAAGGCTAGTTTGGGGAAAGAAGTCTGAACGAATAATTTAGTTTCTCTTTTTAAATTAAGTAACACTTATCTTTAAAATTAGTTAGAATGTAGTTTTTATACTGTAATACAGGAATCCAAAATGTCAGAGGCTAAAGTGAGATAGAAGCCCATTTATTTCTCCTTAACATAAACATCTGGAATGAAGTAGTCTGGGGCTGCTGTCCTGGCTCCCTGATTATGGGATCCAGGCTCTATTTTGTTTCACTGCTGCATATCATTTTCATGGCTTTGGATGGTTCACAAATCATTCCCTTGTTAGCACTGCAGTCAATCACAGGAAAATGTGAGTAATGGGGAGAGCATGGCTGCATCCTTCTTTTAAGAACATGATCAGAAATTTGCACAAATCACTTCCACTGACATGCTGTTGACCATTAATTAGTTATATGACTACACCTAGCTGCAAGGGAGTCAGCAAGTATAATAATTACCTGGGTGGTCATGTGCCAGTTATATTACCATACAAAAAAGGAAATAGAAATATTAATGAACAATTAGCAGTTTCTGTCATCTCCATCAGTCATGCAAAATGTATAAACATTATAATTATGTGAAGGCAATCTGATAAAAGTTAACAAAAAAAAAAAAACACTCTTATAGACCATTGATTGAATTTGACTGTGCTGAATTTTTTGACTTGATCCCTCCCTCACATAAGGTCAAAAAAGTCTCAAAACTTTAACTTGATCAAACTTGAACAGACTTTTGAATGACGATATTTAGTAAAAAAAAAAAAAAAAAAAAAAAAGAAGAAGATATTTAGTGACATTAATGATGAAACAAAAAAGAAATGAAATAACAAAGTTTTCTATGGCAGGCATTTGGTAGAATAACCATAAGAATCATGTCTTTTCTCACCCTTACATCCCATTAGCAATCATTCTGTAACACCTTATTGTTAAATATGGGCTTTCCAGGTGGTGTTAGTGGTAAAGAGCCTGCCTGCCAATGCAAGAGATGTAAGAGATGTGGGTTTGATCCCTGGGTTGGGAAGATTCTTTGGAGGAGGGCATGGCGACCCATTCCAGTATTTTTGCCTGGAGAATCCCATGAACAAAGGAGCCTGGTGGGCTATGGTCTGCAGGGTTGCAAAGATTCAGACACAACTGAAATGATTTAGCATGCAGGTACATGCACTGTTAAATATGAAACAAGGGTGTTTTTAAAAATTTATTCAGTTTTTAATTGAATAATTGCTTTACAGAATTTTGTTGTTTTCTGTCAAACGTCAATATGAATCAGCCATAGGTATACATATGTCCCCTCCCTCTTGACGTTTTTTTTACAATTTGTTTAAATTTTTTTACAATTTGTTTAAAATTTTTTACAATTTGTTTACATTTGTTGGTTTCTGTCACACAACGATGGAAATCAGTCATAATGACATGTATATCCCCTCCCACTTGAGCATCCCTCCCTTCCCCACATCCCACCCCTCTAGGTCATCCCAGAGCAGCAGAGCTCCCTGTGTTACACAGCAACTTCTCACTAACAATCCATTTTACACACAATAGAGTAAATATATTGATGCTACTTCCTCCATTTGTCGCACTCCCTCTCTCCCCCACTGTGTCCACTAGTCCATTCTTCACACCTCCATTCCTTGCGTCTCCGTTCCTTTCTTGCAAATAGGTTCATTAGCATCATTTTTGTACATTTCATATATATGTGTTAACACTATAATTTCTGTTTCTGACTTACTTCACTCTGTACGGCAGGACCTATGTTCATCCACCTTGCTAGAATTGACTCAAATTCATTCTTTTTTATGGCTGAGTAATATACCATTTTACATATGTACCACATCTTCTTTATCATCTGTCAATGAATATCTAGGTTGTTTCCATGCCCTGGCTATTGTAAATAATGCTGCACTGAACACTGGAGTACAAGTGTCTTTTAAAAACTGTGGTTTTCTCAGGACATATGCCCAGTAGTGAGGTTGCTGGGTCATATGGTAGATTTATTCCTAATTTTTAAAAGAGTCTCCATACTGTTCTCCATACTGGCTATTTCAGCTTATATTCCCACTAACAGTATAGGAGGGTTCCCTGTTCTCCACACCCTCTCCAGCATTTATTTGTAGATTTTTTGAT